ATCTTTATTGTTTTTTCCATTACCATTTAATCCCCTTATACTACCCTTCTCCCAGCAATCACCACTCTGCTGTCCATGACAATGAGTCCTTTTTCCTTTTTTGTTCAATCTCTCCATCCCCTAACCTTCCCCATAACTAGCTGTCATCCTGCTCTCTGTTCATGAGTCTGTGTCCATTTCTCTTGTTCTTACAGTTTTTCTTCATTAGGTTCCACATATGAGTGAAATCATATGGTATTTGTCTATATCTGACTGGCTTATTTCACTTAGCATGATATTCTCAGGTCCATCCATACTGTCACAAAGCGTAATTTTTTTTATTTACGGCTGAATAGTATTTCATAGTGTAAATGTCCCATGGTTGTTTTATCCACTCATCTGCTGATGGACACTTGGGCTGTTTCCATATCTTGGAGATTGTAAATAATGCTGCAATGAACATAGGGATACTTATGTTCTTTCAAATTAGTGTTTTGGGTTCCTTCAGGTATATTCCCAGAAGTGGGATAGTTGGGTCAAAAGGCAGATCCAGTTTTAATTTTTTGAGGTATCTCCATACTGCTTTCCATAGTGGCTGCGCTAATCTGCATTCCCACCAATAGTGCAAAAGCGTTCCCCTTTGTCCCTACCTTGGCCAACACTTGATTGTTGATTTATTGATAATATCCATTCTGACAGGTATGAGATGATATCTCATTGTGGTTTTACTTTGCATTTCTCTGATTAGTGACATTGAGCATCTTTCCATATGTCTATTGGCCATCTGTATGTCCCCCTTGGAGAAGTCTCTTCAGGGTCTTTGCCATTTTATAATTAGATTGTTTGCTTTTCTGCTGTTGAGTTTTATAAGTTCCTTATTAAATATTGGATATTAACCCCTTATCAGATGTGCCATGAATTTGGATTACTATGGTTTTAGTATAGTTTGATATTAGGTAGTGTGATTCTGCTTTGTCCTTTTTCCTCGAGATCACTGTTGCTACTCTGGGTCTTTGTGGTTCCACATACATTTTTGAAATATTAGGACATTAGGGAGATCCAAGATGGCAGGTGTGTAAGTGGAAGCTATACAAACTAATCCCAGAACCAATCTGGAATTACAAATAAATTGTAGAGAAATCATCCTGAATCACCAACTGAACTCTAGCTGGAGAGAAGCCTTATAACCACAGACAGACAGAAGAAACTGCTTCAGTACAATGAGACTGGTAGTGAGCACAGAGGAGGCATGAAAGTGTTGTCTAGGCTCCCATGGGTGGCAGCTGAAGTTCCAGAGGGATATTTCAGCTGCTGGGGGTACCCTTGAAAAGTGTGGTATCTAAACCCCAGCTGGGCTCCCCAACCTACAGCACCAGAGCCAGAAAGGAACCAGATAACATCCAGCTGTGAAAAGCAGTGGGGTTTCTCTCTGCCATGGAAGGAAGGCTGGAGACTCAGAGCCTCTTAAAGAGCCAACGCACAAAATTTTGCTTGCAGCAACTTACTCTGGGCTGCAGCAGAGGGAAGGCAGAGTAACTAAAGATGCTTGAGGAGAGTTTGGGGCTGGTGGTTCTGGGGAAAGAAGTGAAGGAACAGCCTCCAGGGTCACTGTGCTGAGTCATTCCGCATAATTCTGAGGCCATCTCTCTCAGGCAGAGCACTCTCCTCCAAGTGGCATCAATTTGAGGAGAAACAATATCCCCACTCACAAGAATTATTCTGCCCCACCCTGTGGTAGCTTAAGCCAGGCTGCTAATTACACCTCGAGTCTATATCAATGATTAGTTTAACAACTAAAGTGGATCTCTGGGAGCTCTATGAGACTTTAGTTCACCCTTCCTGGGCCCTGGTGGTGATAAAACTTGGCCTTGGTGTGCAGTCTGGTTCTTTCTGCACACAAACACGCCCAGCAGAGGGAGCCACACACAGCAGGTTGCTGATAGCTCCAACAGGTTGACCAGGGCCAGTCACAAGCAGTGTCTGACAAAAAGACTACACCAGAGTCTTTGCATATTTATCTAATATAGAAAGAAATAAAAAGGAGCAGCCAAAATGGAAAACAAAGAAACAGACCCCAAATAAAAGAATAAGAGACTTCTCCAGAAGAAGAGCTAGATGAAATGGAAGCAAGTCATTTATCAGATACAGAGTTTAGAGTAATGATTATAAGGATAATCAATAGCATGAAAAAAGACATGGGAACCATAAAAAGGGACCCATCAGAAATCAAGAATGCAGTATCTGAAATAAATAATACAGTGCAAGGAATAAACAGTAGGTTAGATGAGGCAGAGGATCAAATCTGTGTTTTGGAAGACAAGATAGAAAAAAATACCAAAGCAGAGCAGCAAAAAGAAAAAAGAATTTTAAAAAAATGAAGAGAGCTTAAGAAATATTTTGGACAACATGAAACATAACAACATCTGCATCATGGGGATACCAGAAGGAGAGGAGAGGCAGTAAGGGATCAAAAATCTATTTGAAGAAATAATGACTGAAAAATTCACTAGTCTGATGAAGGAAAAAGACACATAAATCTAGGAAGCTCAGAGAGTTCCAAATGGGTTGGACTTGAAGAAGTCTACACTGACACAAATCATAATTAAAATGATGAGGCTTAAAGAAACGGAGAGACCCTAAAGGCATCAAAGGAAAAGCAGGTGGTTACATACAAGGGAGCACCAATTAGGTTGTCATCTGATTTCTCAACAGAAACTTTTCAGGCCAGAAGAGATTGATGTGAAATATTCAAGGTGATGGAAAGCAAAGAACTACAATCAAGGCTACTTTACCCAACAAGGCTATCATTTAAAATCAAAGGAGAAATAAGAATCATCCCAGACAAGAGAATAGCTAAAGGAGTTTGTTAACACCAAACCAGTACTGCAAGAAATGTTAAAGGGCATGCTTTAGGAAGAAGAAGAAAAAAAAGAGAAAGAAAAAAACAGAGGCCAATGGCCTGACAGTAAAATGGCACTAATTAATATCTATCAATAATCACCTTAAATGTAAATGGCTTAAATGCTACTACCAGAAGACAGAGGGTAGCTGAATAGATAAGAAAACAAGACCCATATATATGCTGCCTTCAAGAGACCCATCTCATATCTAAAGATACACACAGGCTGAAAATAAAGGGATGGAAAAAGATATTTCAAGTAAATGGAAAGGAAAAAATCTGGGGTAGCAGTATTTATATCTGACAAAATACACTTTAAAACCAAGGATATAATATGAGACAAAGAAGGACGCTTCATAATGATAAAGGGAATAACCTAAGAAGAAGATATAACCCTAGTAAACATTTATGCACCCAAAACTGGAGCACCTAAATATGTGAAGTAAAATTTGATAAAGGGAGAGGTTGACAGAAATACAGTCATAGTAGGACATTTTAACACCCCATTGACTTTAATGGATAGATATTCCAGACAGAAAACCAACAAAGATAGAGTGGCCTTAAATGACACATTAGATCAAATGGATTTAACTGATATCTTCAGAGCATTTCACCCCAAAGCAGCAGAATATACATACATTTCAAGAGCACATAGAACATTTTCTAGGATAGACCACATGTTAGGACACAAAATAAGGCTCAATAAATTTTGGAAGATTGAAATTATGTCATGCATCTTTTTTGGCCACAATGCTATGAAGGAAGAAATCAATGACAAGAAGAACACTGAAAAATATGCAAAGACATTAAAACTAAATAACATGTCATTAAACAATGAATGGGTCAACAAGGAGGTCAAGGAAGAAATTAAAGATACCTTGAAACAAATGAAAATGAGGACACAACAATTCAAAACCTATGGGGCACAGAAAGCAACCCTAAGAGGGAAATTCACAGCGTTAGTGGCCTATCTTAAAGAAGAAGAAAAACCTCAAACACACAATCTAACTTTACACTTAAAGGAACTTGAAAAAGAATAACAAACAAAGCCCAAAGTGAGTAGAAGGAAGGAACTAATAAAGATTGGAGCAGAAATAAATGAAATATCATCTAAAAAATGATACAGAATATCAATGTGTCCAAGAGCTGGTTCTTTGAAAAGAGAAATAAGATTGACAAGCCTTTAACCAGGCTTATTAAAAAAAAAAAAAAAGAAGCGAGAGAGAGGACCCAAATAAATAAAATCAGAAATGGAAGTGGAGAAATAACAATTGGTACCAAAGAAAAACAAAGGATTTTAAGAAAATATTATGAACTGTACGCCAACAAATTAGATACCCTGGACAAAATGGATAAATTCCTAGAAACATAGAATTTTTCAAAACTAATTCAGGAAGAATGAGAGAATCTGAAAAGAAAGACTATACCTAGTGAAATTCAAGCAGTAATAAAAAAAACTCACAAAAAACAAAAGCACTGGACCAGATGGTTTCACAGGCAAATTTTACCAAACATTATGGGAAGAACACCTCTCCTTAAACTATTCAAAACAGTTCAAGGGGAGGGAAGGCTCCGAACCTCATTTTACACATATGTCATGACTTGCTGAAGAGCTCTGTCAGGAAAAAACACTTAGAGTTTTAAAACACTTTATTCATTTCTGTGGAAACTGGATGAATGAGTTGTCTTTTGACACTATTCAAAATTTGTGATCAGATGACAATATGACCTCCCAATAAAGAGATAATTGTTTTGCTCTTCTCTTTGGAAATAATTGTATAAATCCAGCACTTTATAGTCCTATCAATTCAACACTTTATAGTCACGTCAGTTAAGTTTAAAACAAGCTCATTACTTTGCTAGCCTATCTACTATATAATCAATATATGGATGCACAGATTAATAGGACCTACCAATAAATAGCTTCATCTTCAAAAAAAAATAGACAAAATGATATCTTATTGAGTTGCACATCCCAAAGTGGTCAAGTAAAAGGCAGAGAATGGGGTTCCAGGATGAACTGGATCCATGGTGCAGAATGAACTCGGAACAGATGCCTCAGGAAAGAATACCTCTTAATTCAGGTTCCTGCAGCCCACGCCTTGAGCTCCCACCTCCTTACCGGGTTCCCTCGTCAGTGCTGAGCTGGGAGCTTCATGAGGTTCTTCTCTGTTCCTGCGTTCTGCGGAGGCATTCCTAAGGGTCGCTGCACAGAGGACAAAAACCCCTTAGTGTCTCACGATGGCCCAAGAATCCCGTGAACAGGAAACCCCATGACAAGTGCACTAGGAACACCTAGAAGTTAATTCAGGTCCCCCTGGCCTGTGCCCTACCGTGTGTGACCTGCAGGTTCCTCCAGGTTCTACACAGAAGGGGGTGAGGTTCAGGCACAGAGGGCAGCTGTGCCCGTCCTGCAGCCCTTCTTACCCGACGGTCGCCCTGTCTCCCACCTCCACCCTCACTCTACCCTCCCTCCCCTCCCCCACTCTACTTCTTCTTTCATTCTCATTGCAATTCTTCACTTTCCTATTGACTCAAACCATTTCCACTAATTATGCCTGGGGGTGGCATGTCTTTATAACTCTCCTTGTCGTCATGTGTTCCTTTTCCTCTCCTCTAATTAATAGCTTGGCTCTTTGATCTTTTCCCTTTTCTTTAGCTCATACATCTGTCACTTTCTTCTCTTGCATAGAAATAGTATGATATCAATACTTAAACTATTTCTGTTTCTGATATTTTTCTAATTACTTAGGTTCACTTTTCTGCTGAGCTTGTTGTAAGGTGGTCATTTCCTCCCCTTCCTACCTCTCACCAAGGCCACCAGGCCACACACACACACGCACAGCAAGCGACACATTCATAAATGTAGTGCCAAACTGTAGAGGTTAGACAGGGACTCAGACTCCTCAATCAATCATGCTGCCACACCTCGGTTTATCAGCGGCACATGAAGGCTGCAGCCAGCCATGACTTTGAGAGACATTTTGCTTTGTGGGGAGGTTGTCCATGTGGAGAGCCAGACAGTGACTCAGTACTGAAGTGTGGGTACCACATAGAGGCTTCTTAAAAGGAACTGCAATGTGGCTGGGCAAGGACCCTGCACACAGCTGCTCTGCCAGCATAGAGACCGGATTGCAATTGCAGTCACAGAGCACCCCTCCTGTCACCTCTGGAGATGTGGAAATACAGCAACGGAGAGGAAAGGGGAGGCTCCAGGACTTCTGGTGGTGGGGTGCAGTGTGGATTTCCACCACACCTGTGGAAATCAGAGATCGCAACTCAACATGAAGTGCTTCTACGGTCTGAGTTCCAGGCTGAAGAGTTCACTACAGGAGCTCAGACGAAGGCAGAAACCACACCGATGCAACAGGACTTCTGAGAGTGACAGATGCAATCACACAAAGGAAATCGCGGACTGCAGGAAGGAGTAGGGGGGCGATTGAAACAAAAATCTTGCTGAGGAGATTGGGAAACAGAATCAGTTTCCTCATTCTCAAGTTTGGGGGTGGTGCCCCACCCCCCACTGTGAGCTAAGCTTGCTGCTGCTGCTGTGGCTGTGGAGAAAAACCTAACAGAATGGGAACATTGGTTTTTTTGACCCATTCTGAATTTTTCTTAGCCTTGCCAAACCACGCTGGATCTTCACGTCCTTGCCCACTGAGACCAGCTGGGCAGAGAGATCAGAAACTTGCACAACGAGGGGTTTTCTGGGCCCCGCACAGCTCTTGCAAGCAAACCAGAGGCTGTGTGGAACTGAGAGCCCTGGACCGTGTCTCCTGAAAAACCTGTGGGTGGGCAGTAAGATGCGCAAGAGTTGAGCACCCGGGATACTTTGCAGCCAGACAAACCCCTTCACAGTCTAAAATTCCAGGGAAGGGAGGGGAGCACCATCTCCCCCTCCCGCCCGCAGGATTGCAGGCATCGCATCCAATGGGGAAATGCTGTAGGACAGCCTTGCCAGGTCCAAGATTTCTCTGCTGGGTGTATTTCCACAGGAGGAAGAAAGAGAAACTCCAGACAGGAACTTTCAAAGTGTGAAAATTTTGGAGGATTTTGCCTGGAAGAAGGACAGAGAGCTTGGCCTCTGACTGAGGGCTTGGAATGAAAAGGAGAGCCCATCTGCCTGCTGCAGTCAGGTCTTGCCTCAGCTCCAAAGGGAGGCCCCCTTGAGTCCATCCCCTGAGGTCCAGAGCTGCTGAGCTCTCTCTTGCAAAGGGGAAAGTTGAATGTACCCATCCTGTGTCCAGCAGTGAGCCCCCCTGAGGAAGCAAGTGCTGGGGCCTATGACAAAGACAGAAGGCGTTGGCTTTGAGTAGGGGCTACTCTCCCCTCATTGAATGACCTTGACCTATGGTCTCCAGGACTAACAAAGTGGAAACACGCCAACCCTATCTCAACAAACCTGGTCCCAGCTTACAGACCCTTATCAAAAGGCTCTGGAGAATAACCAGGCAACCTCAGGTGAGGGCCGAGAGGCTGAGAGGGGGAGGCTGACCTTGGGGAGCCTTGGTTCCTATACAGAGCTGCTACCAGTTTCAAGTAGGAAGGAGCTGACTCTTTTAAACAGACTGGCCCCTCACATGCACAAACAGGTCCAGTAAACATAGACAGAGCAGCCAACAGCCAGGTAGCTACAGAGACATAGTCTAGGGCTGGTTTCACACAATTTCTGAAAGTGACCTATTTCTGAACCCCACCCAAATGGACCCAGAATCAACAAAACCAGTGGTGGGCTTAATCCCACAATGAAGCTTGAACCAACTAGCGACACAACCAGTACACTCAGAGGGAGATTCCTAGAGACTCCAGGCCCTGCTGGGAACAAGGTCACATCGAGGGGCAGCAACTGCACAGCATCCCACACATGGAGATCAATGGTTACTCTTAGAGTTGCCCAGCCTGAGGAGATAACTCTACCCACAAAGGAGCCATCAGCATTTAAAACACAGCTAAAACGAGAGCGTCACAGAATCCACAAGAGACACTCCTAAACCATGGAGTTCAGGTGATCCGAAGGATTGGGCAATTAACCCAAGCAAGACACCAATACCATAAAACAATCAAAGTATATTCTGGAGGCATAACACAACTACCTAAGACACAGAGATCAAATGGAGTGACAAAGAAAAATGTCCAAAGAAAAAAAAAACAAAACAACAACAGAAATCTCCACAAAAAGAATGAAAAGATACAGATGAAATGGAAACAACACAAATATCAGATGCAGAGTTCAAAATAATGGTTATAAGGATGCTCAAAGACCTTAAGGGAAGAAATACATGATCTCACTGAGAACTAGAATCAGTCAGAAATGAAGATTATAACATCTGAAATGAAGAATTTGCTGGAAGGAATCAACAATAGGTTAGATGAAGCAGAGGATCCAATCAGTGAGTTAGAGGACAAGATGACAGTAACTACCCAAAGAGAAGACAAAAGAGAAATGAGACTGAGGAGAAACAAGGAAAGCCTAAGGAACCTTTGAGATAATATCAACCATAACAATATCCACATCATAGAAATGCCCGAAGGAGATGAGCGTGAAAGGATAAAGGATTTATTTGGCGAAATAACGGCAGAAAACTTCTTCAACCTGGTGAAGGAAAAGGGTGCACAAGTCCAGGAAGGTCCCAAGAAAGTCCCAATAAAGATGAGCCCAAAGAGGCCTACATCAAGACACATCATAATTAAAATGGCAAAGCTTGAAGACAAAAAGAGAATTTAAAAGGGAGTAAAAGAAAGACATTCAGTTTCCTGCAAGGGAGCACCCATTGCAATCTCAGCTGATTTCTTAACAGAAACACAATAGGCCAGAAGAGATTGGTAGGAAATATTCAGAGTAATGAAATTTAAGAACATGCAACCTAGGTTGCTCTAAAAAACAAGGCTATCATTTAAAATTGAAGGCCAAATAAGGCACTTCCCAGACAAAGTAAAGTTAAAGGAGTTCATTACCACCAAACCATGATCTAAAGCGGACAATGCTTGGTTCTCTCTGTCTACCTGGCCCACTCTCTACCAGTTTTTCATTCATTGTCCTTTACTCATTCTCAACATAGTTCTTTTTGAGGCTCTCCCCATTTTTTCTATTTATTGATATTTATTTCCCTCTATATATTTCTGTATTAATACATATTTCTCTACATATTTCTCACAGTTACCCAGGGTCCAGCAGGGTCTAGGTTGAAGCAAAATAGGTACCCAGGACACAAAAAGGTGCTGAGAACTTCTTACATGCATCCCAGGATCTCCCTGCTTCACCCTAGACCTGGACCTGCTGCTCCACCTGACTTTTTTGTAATCTAGTCTCTGTAATGTTTCCTACTTTATCTTATTCTATTTCTGTTTCTTAGTTATTTTTGTAACCCATGAATACCTTTTCTATAACAATTTTGTCTTTATGTTTTCTCAATCTTAGACATTCCCATCATCACCAAAGTTCTACTCTTATGACTTTACCCACCTGCCAGTTCCCCTCCACTCTCATCAAACTCAGCCATTCAATATTTCCTGTTGGTTCAGACTCTTGGGCACACTATTCACTTGCATATTGGCTCTCTATTGTATTGTTGCTTTCACTGCTTGTGCCTGTTTCCTTTGCATTTATCTCTTCTGTTTTGCAGACTTGCTCTGAGAGTTCTATATTATGTGGGACTGTACCTAGATCATGCTTTGATACCTAGGTATTTTATTTGCTCCCTGCATCAATCAGGTCCAACAGGGAAATGCAAAGCTCTCTAAGCTTTTAGAGCTGAGGGAATTTAATCAGGGGGTTAGCTGTACAGCTAATGGAAGAGCTGAGAAGTCCAAAGGCAAGAATACAGCAACCCAAAGAATGGTCAACAGAAAGCTATGGGAAGGACCAAGGGTGAGCTCATGTGCCAAAGTCACCATGTGGGTAGAAGCTGGCTCTACCATGGGGATAGAAGCCTACTTTGTGGGAGGCAGAGTAATGGGAGATGCAGCTATTGCCAGAATTGCCGCCCAAGACAGTGACAGGGTAATACCGGGCTTCTTCCTTGTTCACACTCTCCAATCTCCTGCTAGTGTGTTCCAGGTTAGGAGCCCAGCAGGAAGCAGTAGCAAGGGGGTTGGCAAGCAAGTCTGCAGGGGTCCATGGTCAGAGTTAGAGGGCAAAGTGGAGCAGCGAATAATAAGGAAGGAACCCCTGAGTAAACCATCCAGGACCTGTGTACCCCCTTCCCCATAATGAACCTCCCCTGCTCATTAATGATTCCATCAAGCCATCCCACTCTGTTCCTACAAAGCTTGATAGTTTATGAATGGATAAACATTATTTTCAGAGAAGCTTGGATTTTTTTTTCCTATTTACTGCTCTTTTTCTAAGCAAAGTAATTTATATAAAATGATTTAATAATTAATTCCCACCATTTTAACATAGAACCTGTGACATGCTACATGCTTTGTGACACATCCGCAGTTCCTTGGAGCCTCCTCTTCTGGGAGGCAGTAGCGTCAGACACAGAGTTTTCTCACCTGTGCATGTCACAGTCAGCTGGCCCTGCTGGGTCAGACTCTTGGGCACAGTTACTGGTGGTTTGCTCTGCATCATTTGGGTTATGTCATTGCTTCCTCCCCCTGCTCCTTACTAGTCACAATTCCTTCCTCTCAACCGTCCTGTTCTCACCAGCTGCTCTGGTAGATAAACTGTTAAGAACATGAACTGATATATGTTGGATATATTATATTCTTAAATATTAACTGTTGTTTATCCTCACATGAGTATATGTTTATTGATTTTGAGAGAGAGAGGGAGACAGAGAGTGATGGAGAGAGAGCGAGAGCAAGAGCAAGAGAGAGAGAGAGAGATCGATCACTCGGTCGCCTCCTGTAAGTACCCCAACTGGGGATTAAACCCCCAGCCTAGGCATGTGCCCTGACTGGAGATCAGTCAAACCTTCAACTTTTTGCTGCTCAGGAAGATGCTCTAACCAACTGAGCCACCTGGCCAGAGCTTAAATATTAGTTTTTTGACTAAACATGATTTACTAAAAGTGTAATGATGCTTTCAAAAATCACTTTGAACTTTTTTTCATTAAAAAAAGTATTACTAATACAGAACATCCTTTCTCCAATAACACATCCCCGTGGCGGCTACATCATGACGCCTTCCGCGGAGTTGTGGGGCAGCCCCAGGCCTGCTGCCCGGAGACGGTGGGAGAGGGTTTGCACGGGAGGCACACGGTGTCCACGGTCCTGTGTGAGGGACCCCCCAGGTGAGAGGCCCTGGCCCAGGGGGAGCACTCACCGCCCCTCCCCCACTCCCCTGTGCAGTGCTGGCCGCCGCTGGATGTGACCTGAGAGCAAGGCTGCAGCCAGAGTCAGGCGAGGCAGAGGCAGAGGACTGTGAAGCCAGGTGCATGGGCAATAGGTCCAGGCCCAGGGTGGCAGGAGCTGGCAGCACGTACATTTAAGGAGTATGGAAGGAATGACCCTCTCAGGTACCCAGGAAAATGAAGGCTCTATTATCTAAATCTTTGGAGAAATTGAGGATGCAAAGAATGACGGTTAGGGGCAATCAGTTCTGAAAAAAAGCTGCCCTCACCCTCCAAAGCACATGCCAGCGTGGGGTAAATGATCAGAAAACAGACCATTGTAATTCGAGGGGTGTGGCCTGCTCCAGGTGAGGCTGCGACACAAGATTTCAGCAGTTCCTCAGGGGAGAAATTAGAAGCTTATTTAAGAAATTGAAGTATGGGCTGTGCCTTTCCCCCCTTTTCCCATTTAAATCTTTACGAAATAGAACTTAAAGTTGCCCTCCCTCAGGCACCACAGAGCCCATCTGGACCGGGAGGATGCTATCCGACACTTGCCATCAGCTGCGCCCCTGGGTCAGTCAGGCCACCTCACTGAGATCATTCACGAGCCGCTCAGTAACTGCAGATGGCTTTTCATGTCACTCATGGCCACAGTGAACCTGTTTTTGTCCCCAGAGAAGCCTCTGACTGGTGGCCTTACCTCACTTCCTACGGTCTTGCTGTCTCATCCCCACGTCACTTCACACCACATCCTGCCTCTGCAGGTCTGTTTCTCTACCTTGTGGCCTTTAGATGAGGTTCAGTGTCTGATTGTCCTGCACCTCCTCCAGCTCCTGGTAGGCTTCTTTCTATGTCTTTCTCTTTGCATATATTTCCTTATTTTTTGTTTCAAGTGTCTGTCCTTTTCCATAAGACTAGGTGGTGTGTACAGGGTTAGGAAAATAGGCTCTGGGTTCAGAATGTACGGGTTCATCCTGCTTGCTTGACTCCAAGCCAACTACACACATGGTCTCCCTAGATTTCAGTTTCCTTTTCTGCCAATGGCCAGACAGTGATACCACCCACCAAGGGCAGCTGCGAGCACTAAGCCCACAGCTGCCAGAGTAAATGTTCACTGAGTGAGCTCCTAATAATATGGTTGTTTTTATTGTGTCCTTTACTCCTTTCTCCTGCCTTTAATTTCTCTTCTTTTTCTCTCTCAAAATACCCCCATCCCCTCCTCTACATCTCATCATTTCCTCCCTTCTCTCTATATATGACTGCTCATCTCCTTCAATGTATCTGGACTTAAACAGCATCTCTGACAGTGAAGTAGTTCCTTAACCTGCCATTATTAAGGGTCTGCTATTTAATGTTGACTTTGGGTCAGTAGTTTCTAGCCCTTCACAGCTTCACACTGATCTTCATCTACTTGGCTCTTTCTAAATCACAATTACTTCCAGGTCAGCATTTCCATTACATTTGGTTTCCTGACTCACTGGGCTCCCACTGCTTTGTCTTGGTTATCGGGCCCATGGTTGCTTGGCACAGCTACTCCTCTGGGACCAGCCCCTGGTCAGACTCTCATGTAAACACCCATCCCTGCCTTCTCCATTCTCCTCAGCGGTTCTCCCCTGATTCCCAAAATCCACTCTGGCCTCAGGGCCCAACTCCCTTTCTCCTTTCCTCTTAGCAGATGAGAATCAGTTTTTATCTGGTCGCAATCACCTTGTTCAAGTCTTGACTGGATATCATGCATCTCCTCATTTTCTTCTGTATCACTTCTCAGGAAAAAATTTTTGTCTGGTATTGCTGAAGAGAGAGCGAGAGAAGAAGACAAGTAGAGATCTCCTTGAGAATAGTGACATCATCTCAAATTACACACTTAAGAATTTCCAGCCCTTGGGTCACTCAGTGCTCAGTGGAGCCCAATCCTAATGGTAAAGTTCCCCATATACCCCCTGGAAAGAAAAAAGAACCCCCAATAAAGGAGCCTTTGTGCTTCCCACATAGAAAGGAGCCACTTGAATGTCATGACAAAGAAATTGTGGAGCCCTGGGCAGTGTGACTCAAGCTGGTCTTGGGCTGGCTCATAAACCGAAAGGCAGCAGGTTCGATTCTTTAACAGAGTGCCTACTGAAGGCAACCACTGGATATTTCTCTCACATAGATGTTTCTCTCTTTTTTCTCCCTCCCTTCCCCTCTCTCTAAAGATCAAAAATTAAAATTAAATTTAAAAAAAAGCTATTCTGGAAACATTGTGTCTTTCTGCTCATGTAAAAAATTCAGCTGGCCATGAAAGCATATATTAACATAAGTGGTGTTATTTATTTTTAAATGTGTTTGCTGAGCTATTTAAACTATAAGGAAGAAACAGGGATTTCCCTGAGAGAGGACAATAATCCTATAGCAGTTCACGTGTTTACAAATGGAGAAAACCTAACAGCTTTGAAATGTGGCTGGATTAGAAAAGGTTTTGGCCTGATTAGGTCAGGGAGGATGAGGGCTTCCCAAAGAGACAAATCAGAGGACATGGGAGCAAGTAGACAGATGTCCCAGGGGTCCCAGGTCCCAGGACAAAGGAAGGACACACTGTCTGAAGCCAGGAGCAGGGGTATTGCACTGGAGGACGTCCCAAGAGGCCTCATCAAGGACCTGGGAGTCTCCCAAAGAAGAGAGAACACAGCACCAGCCCAGGACCCCCGCATGGAGGGCCCAGCAAACACTGGAGGAAGGAAATGAACCGAAAAGCCCCGGGTGGGCCTCTGCGGGGAGGCCGGAGTGCAGCCTGAGGGAGCAGTGAGCGCCTCTGCCTCAGGGCTGCTGGCAGGGGCACCTCCCGGGGCAGGAAACCTGGGCTCATAAACCTTGTAAACCTGGACTTCCTCCTTGCCCTGCAGCAAATATCATCAAATTCCTTAGCGCTAGAAGCCAGACCTTCCAAAATCTGCCTTCAAACTTATCCCTCTCGACTCAGCCCCCAGAGTCTGCTTCTCACTCTGAGACTGATCTGCTCTGCGCTTGCTCTGCAGACACACGGGCCCTTCCTGCCCTGCCTGTCCCTGTATCAGCTGCACCCCCGAGCTCCTACAGCCTTTTGCTCTGGGTTCTCCATTGTTACTCGGAGAGCCTGGGGAGACATAAACTGTGTTCGGATAAAAAATTTCCAGGGAAGTGAAACAAAAATTAACGGAGGGCATCTTTACTGAGAACCAATAAAAGAGTATAAATCATGCCTTCTCAGGAGAGAAGTAGAGAATCAAACCTATGGTTCTGTATAGCATCAAAAAAGAAAAAGAAGAACCACCTCTGTCAGAGCACTAGGTTTTATGATTGATTGTTGATCACATGTGTTATGGAGAATGAGTTAATAAAACTACTTCTCCTTCTTTAAGGGCCAATTTGACCTTGAGTTCCTTTTTTTGCTCATTACTCTGGAAACCTGGTGAAGGCAGTGTCTCTCTGTGTTTCTAGGCAGACACTGGCCTTAGAGCCAAAAGTGAGCAGTGACAGTGGGTAGGGACTAGATATGAACTAGAAGCCATTTTTGGTGTTTCTCCAATGTACTGACTCTTGTATGTCAGCTGTTCCCTGTGGGGTCTCTGAAAGTTATGACTACAGGGTTGTTACATGAGACACTGGCTCCCAGGGGTGCAGTGTGGCTGGAACATGGTGGATCCTGCACCCACAGCTAAGCTGTCACTCGAGGCAGGTAGCAGTTCACTCGGTGAACTGCTGGGTGGGCCGCTGCTGAGGGTCCCACAGAGGAGCAGCAACTGATGCCGCCCTTTAGGGATGTTATGTTTCTTGTCATTTGTCCTTCTAAGTAAATCTGATGCCACTGTGGCTTTGGTTGTCCTGTGAGTCTAACTGCCTAGTTAAGCAGACCCCCAGATGGGCATTGTACTGCACCCATTATATGATAAGCTTTGAGAAGCTCATGATAGGTCAGTTTTCTTTACCGCTGTAGCCCCACTGCCCAGCACTCTGTGTGACACACGGTAGAAGCTCAGTGTTTACCTGAGGGAAAACATTGGCCTTGGACATCAAAAAGTAGGTAACAAACCTAATTACCATTTTTGAAGATTTCATAAGTGTGATTTAAACCAGGGTATTTCTTCAAGGTGAACTCGTTGAATAATATTTTTAGAAGGGATGGTTCAAACTTCTTTTGTGCTTCAGCGAGAGCAGTATATGCGGCTTCTTCTACATTATGACCTTTTTTAAAAGATTCTTTAGAAACCTGAAACATAGTGAATGGGGAAAATATAAATACAGACTCCCAAGTTACAGAAGAGCCCTAGAAAGTGATTTTGTTTTAATGTATTACAAGTTTCCTGCATAGGTATTTTTTCATGCATGGTTTTAGAATTTGTATATACTTGAACGGCAACGAAGTGGAACAACTAAATCTTTCCTCCTTGAAAATACCCATTTCTGAATCTGATCTCCTCATCCTCATTTACGTTAGATGAAAGCAAAGAACAGTTTGAAGAATAGAAATGAGTTCAAAGTTAAATGATGTGTAGCCCTTCCAGAGCCAGGCCAAAATTTTAGGACTCGACTTAGCAGGAGATGGGCTGATGTTCTATTGAATGAAAAACTCTTGTCCCTTCTCCAGGGCAAATTGACCTGGAAGGGCTCAAGGAAGCCAAGTGGCAATTTTCCCTTCCTGTGAATTTTGCCATAAAGTAAGCTTATTCATAGGGAAACAGAAGACTTGCATCTCTCTATCTCCACCTATGTCTTTTTTTAAAAAAATTTAATTAATTAATTTATTTTTCCAAATACATTTGTCTCTGCCTTCCCCCCACCACTTCCCCTCCCCCTCCCCCCTCCCTCCCTCAATCCTTCCCCACTTTGGTTTTGTCCATGAGTCCTTGCTATATGTTCCTTGACTTGCCCCTTCCCTTCCTTTTCCTCCCGCCCACCCCTCCCTCCTTCCCTCTTGTCTCTGTTGGTTTCTTTTCCTTTCAGTGTTGCTGGTCTTATTTTCCTTGCATCTGATGATTGGATCAAAAAATTATGGTACATTTACACAACGGACTACTGCGCAGCAGAAAGAAAAAACAGAACTACTTAACTTCGCGACAGCATGGATGGAACTAGAGAGCATTATACTAAGCGAAATAAGCCAGGGGACGAAAGACAAATACCATATGATCTGACCTATAAGCAGAATCCACCTATGTCTTTTGTCAAAATTAACCTAAATTCCAAGACTCCAGAAATACCAATATAAAAGAAAAAAAATAGGAAAGGAATTGGAAAACTTTTGGAGAAAAAATAGCAAGCATTTACTTTCAAATTTACTCTAGCAAGACATTAAATCTCTGGGGATTTTAATGTTCTCACATCTAAGTATTTAAATTGATGTTTATTGAAATGAAATGTGTCGATTTTATGAAATCATTTAATTTATTCCTCCATTCATTAAAAATCACTTTTAATTCCTACTTTATGCTACATTATTTATATAGCTCCTACATTCAGAAATGGGTATTTTCAAGGAGGAAAGATTTAGTTGTTCCACTTCATTGATATTCAAGGCATTATTCAACTGCGGACCCAGCCTGTCTCCAGAGCTTTTCACCCAGCTGTAGGGGGCACCACGGAGCCCTGCTTCTTCTGTCAGGAGCAGGGCTGTCCACAGTGATGTCTGCTCCTCTCCTCCCTCCTGACCTTATGGGAACACTCACAGCAGCACATGAGAAGGCCCCAATCACAGCAGACTACTCAGGTGTCTGGTTGCACTCTGATGTTTGATTCCAGCATATCAAAGCAAAACTTAATTTATGGCTGGTTTACCAGAGTGTAAAAAAATAAATTACACTCACTTACAGCATATATTTCATCGGTGATGAATCCATGGTCCCGGAGATGTTCAAGGAAAGGATATGATTCTACTATTGCCTGTGAAATCTCCACCTTATACTTGTTGAAGAGCCTCAGTGCTGTCTTCTCTATGCTGTTGTCTGAGTTCTGGTCCTCTGCAGACATCCTAGGGAGAAAGGATACCATGATAAAATGGTCATCAAGATTTTGATATGCTGTAGCATTTTATATATGAAGGATTGTCTGTGAAGAACCAACCTATACAAAATAAATGGTCCTGAGTAGAGAGTAAAACAAATAAAATTGAAGCAATAGTCAAAGCTATAATAAACTGAAGCATGGTGGATTAGAAGGATGTTCATAATATTGAAATTTTCCAGTCTGTCATGACCAAAGTCATTGTAAAGTTTATTGTCCTAAACATATCTGGATTTTTTGGAAAATATTTTAATTGGTACAAAATTGAGATGGAATAAAAAGATCATCCACAGAGGAATAAGAAACAATGAAATAACAGTAGAGTTTAAGCTTAAAAATGCATCTTAATTAACAACTAAAAAAAAAATCTCAAAAAGTTAAAAACAAGGTGTTCCTTCTCTGACTTCTAGTGTTAAGAGAAACACCATCCTGATTATAAAACTAGTTCATAACTGAGAAGACATGGTTTAATAATGATGTGATAAGGCATAAATTAAAATTTCACAAGAATATCAATCATTTCTTCTCAGACTTCTGCTTTGAGTTCATATAAATCTGTCTCTACAATTGTTGTACATGTAATGAACATTTTTAGTCATCTGGACTTCAGAAGTGGCTGCTGTTCCTTTTGTGAAAGTAATTGTAAACCTGAGTTTTTAATTCTGCTTCTTAGTTGATCATTTTAGTGTTCTGATAATAATGTTTTATTAGACATTTTGTATTCCTAAAAGCCATGAAAACTCACAAGTTTCCCTTTTCAAACCAGAAGAAGAGAAAATTATTGGCTCTTCCCAGTACCCAACATGGATCAGGAAATAATATTGTCACATTTATTGTGTCAAATCCTGTAAAAAGTTTCTGGTTCAAGATTGCAGATTGGAGATAAGCTTTTGTCTTCCCTCTTATTAAAAATGCGTGGATAGAACCAGAGAGTGTTATGCTAAGTGAAATAATCCAGGCGGTGAAAGACAAATACCGTATGATCTCACTTATAAGTGGAACCTAATCAACAAAACAAACAAGGGAGCAAAACAGAACCAGAGACAGGCAAATAAAGAACAAACTGACAATGATCAGAGGAGAGGGGGGAGGGGGATAATGGGAGAAAGAAGGGGAAGGGTCAAGTCAAGGAACATGTATGAAGTAGCCATGGACAAAGACAAAGGAAGCGGGGCGGGAGGGAGGATTGAGAGTGGAAGGGAGGATGGGTAGGGCAGGGGAGAGTAATGGGGAAAATGGGGACAACTGTAACTGAACAGCAATTAAAATAAAGAAAAATAATGCCACTATAATGATAATTAAAAATTGACTTAGAATGACAAGCAGAACGGCAGAGGGCAGTGTCAAATGAGGGATTTCAACAACAACAAAAAGTGGTCAGAAGAGCGTTAGTTGCTATTGCAGGTGAAGGGCATTCCCAGAGGTCAGGGAGCAACCATGTATCTTGAGGAATCTTGAAGGCAGTGGAGATTGAAAGGGAGACATGATGCTGAAAACTAACATGTTATTTGAAAAATGAACAACAGGGCAATGCACCCTTCACCCCACTACTTGCATCCTGACCACCTGGATCCAAGCAGCCTCTCTGTGGCAGACATTAGTCTCCTTTCTGTCACCATGTGTTACTGTTGCCTGTTACTGGGTTTCTTACATGGAATAATACAGCATGCGTGCTTTTGTGTCTGACTTCTTTCGCGTCTGACTTCTTTCACTCATCATGCATGCTGTTGGGTGATTGGAAGTTGGTTCTTCTTATTGTTCAGTGGTATTTCATTTTGTGTGTCTACCAGAATCTGCTTAGTCATTTTCCTGCCAATGGGCATGTGAGTTGATTGCAGTTAAGGACTGGTATACATGAAGCTGCTGTTTGTGTATAAATTTTTTAACAGTACGTTTTTGTTTCTCTTGGGTAAATAAATAGAAGAGGAATTGATGGATGATTGTGTAAGAGTAGTTTAAGTGTTTTCACATACGTAAACTGTTTTTCAAAGTTTATTAGAAATAGCCTTTTACTTTAATCTTTCCACTGTGTTCTGTGGTATCTCATAGAGTTTTGATTTGTGCTTATTTAATGACTAATGATGTTGGAAACAATTTCATATGCTCATTGGAAATTTATGTACTTTTTTCTGTGAAGTCTTTGTTCAGGTCTAAGGCCCATATATATTATTATGCTGTCTTCAACTTACAGATGTGAAGGATCCTGTTTTATATTTTAGATATAAACATTTTATTTAAAATAGGTGTGGTGAAGATTTTTTTCCCAATCTGTGTTTTGCCTTTCATTTTCTAAATTCTGTCTTATGATGAGGAGAAATTTTTATGTTGATGAATTCCAGTCTAACCATTCTTTTTCTTTTGTGGTTAATAACTCTAGTATACTATCTAAGATATCGTTGCATACTCCAAGTTTATAAAAATATTCAAAAGCTAACATATCTAAATCTGGATTTTCTTTTGCATACCATTGATCTATTTGCCTATCCTGATGTCAGTAAAACATTGGCTTCATAACTATAGCTTATAGAAGTCTTGAATTTGGTTGGAAAGAAATTATCTTGAGTTTTCTAAATCTTTCATTTTCTCTATATCCTTAGAATTAATTTGTCAATTCTGGCAAGAACAGTCCTTTGGCTATTTATTGGGTTTGCATTTCATCTATAGATAAATTTACTGAGAATTTATATCTTAACAATATTGAGCTCCCATTTGTCAACACTGTAACATTTTTATTTGAGAAGTTTTCCTTAATTTTAGTTGGCAGTATTTATGGTTCTCAGTATGGATGTAATGCACATCTTTCTTTACACTTATTTTTTTAATGTTACTTTAAATGGTATTAATTTTTAACTGCTTGTTAATATTGTCTAAAAATAACACTGATTTAAAAAGTATTAACCATGTATTTATAACCTTTCTAAATCACCAGTGGGACTTTGTAAAGTATTACAGATTTCATTTGGGTTTTATACATAATAATCTTATTTTTAACAACAAAAACCCTTTGACTTTTTGCTTTCCAAAAATTATTTGTTTTTCTTTTCTTATTGCTGTGGTTAGGAGTCTAACTTCACTATTGAAGAGAAGTGGTGAGATCTGACTTTCTCTCCTTATTTCTAACCTTAGAGAAAAATAATTCATTACCACCATTAAGTATAAGGTTTGTTCTACGTGTGTGTGTGTGTGTGTGTGTGTGTGTGTGTGTGTGTAAAATGAGACTGAGGAAGTTTCTGGCTATTGCTAGTTTGTGGAAGTTTTACCAGAAATAGATGTTGGATTTTATCAGATCTGTCCATTGAGATATTCTTATGATTTTCTTTCTTTATTTTTTAACAATAAATTTCATTGATTGAATTCTGCAGCATCTTCTTAATATGGAACATATAACCACAAGGCCACAGACATTTGAGGAAATTCCCCAATATCAGATTGAAAAAACAAAACAAAAAAAATTTAAGAAGTTCCCTGTGAGAAACATAAATCATGCAGGAAACAGGAGATGACTTGTCCCAAAATATTTTTAGAGAGATATGAGAATTCATATTGCACTGCATGAGGCTAAGAAAATAGGACGACTATGGAAAAAGATAGTGGTCTTGGATATTTTTTAATGATTTAAGCAACAAAAAATCTTTAAATGGTTGTAAAATAAAACTGAGGAAATATCCCACAAAATTAGGAAAATAGATTAAAATTTAAAAGAAAAAGTAAACATGAAAGAAAATATATGAGACTAAGGTTTAACATAGATAATCTAATAACCATAAAATTGTAGTCAAGACAGCTGGACAGAGAAAATAGAGAGGAGGAACATGTGAGAGGAATCAGTTAAGAAGATATCATGGAGTAGAGGGACATGAATTTCTTTGAAAGGGCACAACTTTGGGAATTTTACACAAAAGAATTTTTTAAGAACCTCCAAGGCACATTATTGTGAAATAACAACACCTAAAAAACAAAGAGAAAGACTTAAAGCTTCCAGAAAGAATAAAGAAAACAGGAGCCCTGTGGAGGGACAATGGCGCAAAGCTGAGACGTCTCTTCCACAGCAGTGGCTGCAGAACCAGGCTTTCAAATCTCAGAGTGGGTCAGGTCCACTTCACTTTACTTTGTGAAACACCATTCTTAATGTCTTTCCTAAATTTTCATTATTTCCTTTATACATATAAACATTTACAGTTTTTAAAATAAAAATTTACAAATGCTCTTAAATTTTTCTGCCATCACCATTTCACGTTTTGGCTTGTTTTCTACCTAGCATGTTTCCCCTTCTTTTCCATCCACATCTATGTCCCCACCTCTGCTACCTAACCCATGTAAACTACTTTGCATGGATTCTTCCCTAAATCCTCCAAAAGCATGTGATTTTATCTCCCTTTATCTATGTCCTACACATATGTTCCAGAATGTTTGCCATCATATTATGTTATAATATGATTTTTCTTTTTCTGTATCATACACTTTTTTCCCCCTGCAGTATACAGAGGTGGGCAAAGTAGGGGAAAATGGGATGTCTGTGATAGTGAGAACAATAAATATAAAGTTAAAAACAACAGAGATGATCAAAGTAGCTGAAAAAATGAAAATAGCTGTTACTTTGTTAATACAATAAACCTTTAAATATAAAGACTCATGTTGAGATTGGAGAAAGAGGTACCATGCTAACATCAATCAAAAGATAGATGGAGTAGCTATATTATTTCCACACACAAAAAACTCAGAACAATAAAAATGATGAAGGAGAAAGAGGGCATTACATTTGAAACAGGGGTCTGTTTTCCAAGAAGACTTAACAACCCTTAACACCCATTTATCTAAACACACAGCATCAAATTATACAAGGTAAAAACTGAAAGAACTGCAAGTAGAAATAAATAAGTCTACTATTAGAGTGATCCTTTTAACATCTCTTTCAGTAATTTATAGATCTAGTAAGCAGAGAATTAATAAAAGTATGTTTGATTTGA